TCCTCTATCCCTGAGTCAGAGATCCCTTTCCCTCCCTCTAGCCCTGACTTCAGCTCAGGCCGGTGTCTCCCACCCAGAAGGTGCCAAGGAGGTGTAAGCTAAACATGAGAGGGACTGTATCCCAGAAAAAAAGGGGCTCGAGCGTCCCCACCCCAGCTGTATAACCCCAAACCTCGGGCCCCGCTAGGTCAGGCCCTTTACAGAGCAGCATGCCAGAGCCTCGACTCCTGCTGTCTTCCTGGCCTGGTCCATGGCCCTGGGATCCCCGGCCTTCACAGGTAAGGGGAATGGGGACCTGATGGGGCTACCCAGCTCTGGCTGGTTCAGCATTGGTCCAGCTACAGATCAGCAGAACCCAAACTCACTCCCCAGGAGGGCTTGTGTCCTCTGCACCTGGGAATTCTCAGAAAAGAAATTAATATGACCATGAGTCAATCTCCTCAACATATAAAGAGCTCTAACAAATTAATAATAAAAGTAGGGCCCTAGCTGGTTTGGCTCAGTGGATAGAGCATCGGCCTGCAGACTGAAGGGTCCCGGGTTCATTCCGGTTAAGTACACATGCCCAGGTTGCGGGCTCGATCTATAGTAGGGGGCATGCAGGAGGCGGCCAATCAATGGTTCTCTCTCATCATTGATGTTTCTATCTCTCTCTCCCTCTCCTTTCCTCTCTGAAATCAATAAAAATATATTTAATCAATGATTCTCTCTCATCATTGATGTTTCTCATTATTGATTTCAGAGAGGAAAGGAGAGGGAAAGAGAGATAGAAGCATCAATGATGAGAGAGAATCATTGATCGGCTGCCTCCTGCATGCCCCTTACTGGGGATCGAGCCCGCAGCCTAGGCATGTGCCCTTGGCCGGAATTGAACCTGGGACCCTTCAGTCCACGGGCCAACGCTCTGCCCATTGAGCCAAACCAGCTAGGACAATAAAAATATTTTTTTATAAAAAAATAATAAAAGTAAGTGTTTGGTAAAGGGCGCTATTATTATCATCATTATTGTTATCATCATTGTCACTGCTGTTGCGTCTGCTCTGACTGGGAAAGCCACCCAAGTCCTCCATGGGAAGAACAGTCAAGGACTATAGCCCAAGAGTTCTGGGCTCACGACCACCTTCCATGCAGCACCAAACAAACCAGACTCCCCTCTCTGCACCTCAGATTGGAAAATGGAAATATCGACCCCCATCCAGCCCATTTTGCAGGGCTTCTGGGAACTTGGTTAGTGGGGACCATGAAGGACAGTTGTCTGTTTCACAACTGCTCATCAGATGGGAAGGAAATGGGCCTGGCTGTGGGTAGAACTGGCCCCTGGCAGGAGCAATAGGAGCTGTACTGAGGCTGCAACCCTGGCCTCTCACTCCCTCTCTGTGCCTCAGTTTCCCCATCTGTAGCATGGGGATAGAAACAATACTGACATCCTCGGGTCACTCCAGGACTAAATGAGGTTCCACACACCTGCAGCTTCAGTGATGCTTATACCAACCCCTTCAACGGTGTGTGGTTGGGGGAACTGACCAAGGTCTGGGGACAGCTGCTGGATAAACTTAAGCACAGAGAGGGTAGGTGACCTCCAGGGCCCCAGGGATTGGTGGAGCCGGGGTTTGCCTGGGCAGGCAGCCCCCTGCTCCCCCCACTGCTGTTTCCTCCTGTGCAATTATGATCAACGACCCCAAGGCCTTCAAATCATCAGTTTACCAGTATCACCAGTTCAGATCTGAGCGTTGCTGGTGGGGCCTGAAGGGGCCTCCAACCACAGACCACAGCTGAGTTCCCCCTTTCCAGGCCGTTGGGTGAGGGTAGGTGCCTTGGTCCTCAAAGCTCTCAGGGAGACTTCAGCCTTGAGAAGTCTGGGGCCATGGGGCCTGGGGCAGAGGGCTGGGACCAACTTTTGCTGACTATGGCCACTGCTCTGATGATGTCCATGAGGCTTCCAGGTAAGGACCCCGAGGAGTCCCCATATAGAGGCCCCATCAGGAACTGCCCAGGTACCCCAAGGCCCCCTCCCAGACCCCACCCCAGAAAATGCTGAGGTACCCCACACACGGGCCCTGACTTGGTTCAGCTACACAACCCCTGGCTGCTCTCCCTCTAGGGCCTCACCAGGCAATGGGGTGGGAGGCCCAGCTGGGATCTTGACCAGGCACAGGTGCAGGCGCAGGCCCAAGTTTTCTGGAGTCCAGTCCTCCTCCTGGCACATTCAAGGGCCTTCTCTGGGCTCCTTGTCACTCACTCTGTGTCCTTCTGCGTCTCTCTTTCTATCTCTGTCTCTCTCTATCTCCGACTCTTTCTCCCTCAACTTGACCCCCATCCCGTCCAGTGCCTAAGCTGCCCCCATTAACCCATCTTCTGCCCCTCTCAACATACCCCTCCTCCCCTCTGCAGGCTCCTGGGGGGCTAGGATCATTGGGGGCCGAGAGGTGACCCCGCACTCCCGTCCCTACATGGCATCGGTGAGCTTTGAGGGCCAGCATCACTGCGGTGGCTTCCTGCTCCGTGCCCGCTGGGTGGTCTCAGCTGCCCACTGCCTCATCGACAGGTGAGCCCACCTGGGGGCCCTCCTCCTGCTTGCTGCCACTGGGGGCCCCAGAATGCTCTGGCTATATTTCAGGGGTGGGAGTGGGGAGGGGTGTTCCTGGTGTGGGCATTGCTACATTCCAGGTGGGGGGAAGGGTTGGGTTGGCCAGACCCCACCCCCTTCCCTGGGGGTCTCTTGCAGGAGGAGGCATCTCTGGGGCCAGCTTTATGGGACAACAAAGGGGAAAAGGTGGGGCTACCCCCACCTTGTCAAGGATCCTCCATGATAATAAGTAGATGTTATCATCGCTGTGCTTAATCTATATATATATATAAAAGCCTAAGCGACCAAACAACCTATTGCCTGGTTGCTATGACATGCACTGACCACCAAGACGCTGAACACAGGAGCTGCCCCCTGGTGGTCAATGTGCTCCCACAATGGGAGCGCCACTCAGCTGACCCATGGGTGCCAGAAGCAGGGCTCACGGATGGGGACTGACTGGGCTTGAGCCGGTGGCAGGCACGTGGGGCCAGGATGAGTGGGAGTGGGCAGGCAGGAGTGGCAGGTGGCATTGGACTGCCAGTTTTGGCACAATCCCCACAGGCCACACCGAGGACCCCACCAGTGCATGAATCCGTGCACCGGACCCCTAGTAATTAATCACATTAACATTGAAATTATTGAAAAAAGAAAATTTCCTCCACCTTTCTAGGTTCTTCCAGATGGCCTGATAATTAAATCTACGTGAGACAGATTAACAAAGGAAAATAACCAAATTTAATGCAGACATACATGTGGATGACCCACATACATGAGGGAGTCAGAGACCCCACATCCATGAGAGGTTCAGGAACAGATAGGACAGATGAGGTGTCTATGTCACCTGAGCTAGGGATGCGGCATCAGAGGGAAGAAGGGTCATCCTCAAGACCTTCAGTAATTAGAAGCTTGCCCTGCCCTCTAGATAGGTCATAAAACGTTATCTTTGGTGGTAACTCTCATTATGGGCCAGGCCCCCAATTTAGACTCATGTAGGTGGTTAAGCAAGAGGTAGAAGTTTCTTGTGAGCCCAGAGGGTCTTGATGGCCTTCAGCTCAAAATAATCCACATGTCAGCCCGGCCAGTGTGGCTTAGTGGTTGAGCTTCGATCTATGAACCAGGAGGTCGTGGTTGGATCCCCAGTCAGGCACATGTCTGGGTTGCAGGCTCGATATCCAGTAGGGGGCGTGCAGGAGGCAGTCAATCAATGATTCTCATCATTGATGTTTCTCTCTCTCCCTCTCCCTTCCTCTCTCTGAAATCAATTTTTTAAAAAATCCCAATGCCAAAGGGGCACATCTTGGGGAGGCATGTTCTGAACCTCCTCAGAGATAATGTTATAATTGAGGTGGGAATTATAATAAATATAAAAATACTCAATTCCTCCTAAATATGGCTTAGTTATTAGAATTAGTATTGCAATATTAGCGTTAATACTGTAATTGAGGTGGGAATGAAACAAACATGATTATTATCACAGGGTTGACATCAAGGTTAAATGGGTTGCTGTGCACCAGTTTTGCCAATGGGGCTACCAAAGCCTGTGATAGGCAGCCTTACCCCAGTCTCCCTCACTATACCCCTCCCCACTGCAGAGACCCACGAACAGTCCGGGTGGTGCTGGGAGCTCACAACATTCGCACCTCCGAGCCCACCCAGCAGGTGTTCAGCGTCTCAGCTGTCATCAGGCACCCTGACTACCAGCCCACAACCCACGCCAATGACATCTGCCTGCTGCAGGTGAGCTTCTTGGGGAGGAACACTGGGTGTAAGTCTGACCTGTCCCCGCTACTCCCATGATGACTGAACCTGTTTTAAAATAGCTGAAGGATCCTGAAACACCTGAGTCAGGTGAAGTCTTTGCTCAAATGTCCCCTTCTCAGGAGACCTTCCTTGATGACCCCCTCATCCTGCAACCTGCCCCTGTCCTGCTGTCCCTTCTCCCTGTTCCACCTTTCTTATGTCCAGCACGACTGTCACCTGCTAACAGCACCTGCACATTTGCTGCTTCACCATTGTTCACTGCCTCCTCTGGACCTGAGGGCAGGGATTTTTGCCTCGTTTATGACCATTTATGGCTCACAGCAGGTGCTCAATGTTCAGGCTGGTAGGGGGAACAAACGGGGCACTAGGGCCACGAAAGACCTCAATTCCCTGCTGCTTGGGCCCTTCTTGGGGTTTTCTGGCCAGGAAGTGGCTTCACCCATAAATGTGAATTTCCCTCTGCTTCCCCATGGGGTGTGTCCTTTACAACTACCCCCCTGCAGTTCCCACCCAGGAACCCCAAATTCAACTCCAGGAACCCCCAGGGCCTCTGTTTCAAAGGGAGAATGCCCCAAACTTGCCCTCCAAATGTGTTGAAAAGTTAAAAGGGGGAGATACTCAATATGACTGAATGGGTCCCTGGGAACAGGAAGGTCAAGGGTATGGGGTTCTCTTGGCAAATAAAAGGGGGGCAGTGGATGTCAGCAGCCAACGGCTGGATTTTACTCACCTGTGGAACCCCAAAGCTTGGAACCCACTGCTCTGACTCAGCCATCCCATTGTGCAGATGGGGAAACTGAGGTTGGGGTGGTCAGGGATGTGCCCAAGGTCAGGGGGTGTGTACCAAAGTTAGGGGCCCACGTCATTCATTCCAAAACTGTTGATTGAGTGCCAGCTGTGTGCCGGTCAGCGGGGACACAGCCAGGAACAAGCCATGGGGCTGACCCCCTTAAAGCCTTCAGTCTAACTGGGTGGCATCTGGGTATCTGGCCATGACAGGGGCACGTGGTTGCCCAGAGGAGGCACCTGCCCTAGCCTGGGAGTCTTGGAGAGCTTCCTGGAGAAGGTGGTGTCTAAGCTGAGACCTGAAAGTTGGATAGGAAAGGTGCTCCAGGTGGGGGGTACAGTATGAGCAAAAGTGTGGGGGTGGGCCCAGGACATGGCAGTAAATTCATTCTGGCTAGAGGCGGGGGGTTAATGGGGGGCAAGCATTTTATTCCAAGGCAATAAGGAGCAATGGGAGGGCTTAGAGCAGGGAAGGAGATGCTGTTTAGAAAGACCATTTGGGTTGAGTGGGTAAGGGCTGATGGACAGGGGGCATGTGGTGGCAAAAGCAGTGGGCCTTCTGACAGCCATTGCTTTCTCTCCATAAGGCCAAGAGATCAGGTGTCACAGGTGGGTAAACTGAGGCAGGAGCAGTGGTGATGGTTTGGGTGGTCCAAAACTCAGTGTTCTCCCCGTAGCTGAACAGCTCTGCCATCCTGGGTCCTGCAGTGGGGCTGCTGAGGCTGCCCCAAAGGGGCACCAGGCCACCCAGGGCCGGGACGAGGTGCCATGTGGCCGGCTGGGGCTCTGTGTCCAACTTTGAGGACTTGCCACCCGGGCTGATGGAGGCCGAGGTCCGCGTGCTGGGCCTGGACGTCTGCAATAGCTCCTGGAGGGGCCAGCTCAGCCCTACCATGGTCTGCACCCAGAGTGGGGACCGACGGCGGCGAGGCTTCTGCTCGGTAAGATATTCATTGTCCGTCCCTCCCACTTACCACATGAGGGGACCAAGGCTCACAGAGAAGGGTCAGAGCTGGGCAGAGCCTTGGGAACCAAGTCCAGCTTACCCTAGACCAGACCATGTATGGCTGTGCCGTGCACAAAGAGCTACAGATTTGTGTATTTATAAACAGTATCCAGTAGAGGCGGTAACAGATCTCCAGGAAGGAGCTCCTGCTCCTAATACCCTGGCCCTGGGGCAGAGGAAGAAACTCAGCCCGGAGGATCTTTTGTTTTAGGCAAGAGAGTCCAAGGGTTCAGAACACAGGTTCTGGAGCCCAACTGCCTGGGCCCAAGTCCAGACTGTGCCACTTTCCAGGCCTTGGAAAAGTCGCCTCACTTCTCTGGACCTCACTCCATCTTCTCCATCTATATAGAACTGCCACTAATTCCGGATGACAATTAGGGTGCTAGGACCAGGAGGGGAGGGGAAGGGAGGAAGCAGGAGTTTTAGGGTGACTATTCAAGAAGGCTTCTCTGAGGAGAGCACCTTTGAGCTGAGACTTGAAGGAGCCTTAAGATCTGAGGGAAGGCATGACAGGCAGAGAGACAGTCACAGGGCTGCCATGCACAGCTGTTCAGGTCTGTACTGCACAAACAGCTGCAGAATTCTATGTTTATACAAGCAGTGTCCAGTAGGGGACAGTAACAGGTTTCAAAGACACGCGGAAGCTTAGTGGCTGATGAAGCTTGGCTTGCTCTAGGAAGAGCCAGGAAGGCTGGTGTGGCTGGAACCAGATGAGTGAGGGAGAGAGATGTGGGTAGGATCCTCAGGGTCTTGAAGGCTGAGGTGAGGGTTTAGCCTTTGCTGTAAGAGCACTCGGGGGTCATGGAAGGATTCTGAGGGCAGGAAAGGGTCCTGGTGGGCGTTACATGTAGAAGCTCCTTCAAGCAAAGTGAGGCTGAGAGAACCCCTGACCTCACCTTTCCCTTCATCCCCCAGGCGGACTCCGGGGGGCCCCTGGTGTGCAGGAACCGGGCCCATGGCCTCGTTTCCTTCTCTGGCCTCTGGTGTGGCGACCCCAAGACCCCAGATGTATACACACAGGTGTCTGCTTTCGTGACCTGGATCTGGGGTGTGGTTCGGCAGCGACTCCACAGCCCCCAACTCAGCTCCTCACCCAGGACCACTGGGGCCCCCACAGGAGCTTCCTGAACCACAGCAGCACGGTGTATCCAAATGAGATGACAACCAATGCAAATAGTTCTGGCCTGGAAGATTCTGTGGCGGGGGCAGGGGGTCCACAGAACCTTCCAGGGCGCTTGGCGGGTGGGTGGGCATAAATTCCAAACAAAAAGGGCCAGAATATCTGAATAAAATGTTAACTGACAACCAGACATGATGGTCTACCCTCATCCCTTGAGTTTCTTCTTGGCCTCAAGGTGGCTGAGGGTCCTCCCTGAGCCACTTGCTTGGTCGCCTTTCTCTTCCACCCACTCCCACCACCATTCTACCTGTCCTTGAGTTTCTTCTTGGCCTCAAGGTGGCTGAGGGTCCAGATGAGCCACTTCCTCCCTGAGCCAATTGCTTGGTCGCCTTTCTCTTCCACACACTCCCACCACCACTCTACCTGTTTCAGCCCTCTCCCTGGGTGCTGCCCACTGCCCAGAGCTAGACACTGAGGCCAAGATGGACAGTGGCTGCCCCAAGGACATATGCTCATGCTCTTCCAGATGCGTCTAGAGCCCCCACTTACTACCCTATAGTAACCCAGGCTCCAGACTAGTAACCCTCTACCAAAGTGGGCAGCACAGAGGCTCAGAGAGAGAGTAGACCAGGAATTGACCCCAAGGTGGCTTTTTACAATCTTTATTTCTTTGGTGAGGCAGGACCCCAGGGCGGGGAAAATTGCCTTATTGGATGGCTTGGGCAAACTCACCTACTCAAGGACACTTTTCTGGGTGACATACATAGGTAAGGCACTTCCTGGGGGCTGGGAGAGGGTGGGCACACTGCCCCCTGAGCTCCTTGCCCCAAACTTGAGGAGCTGAATTCCCATATCGGGTTTGAGCCTCTGGTCTACACAAAGGCACAAGGAGGTGGCATTGAGTGACAGCCCAGGAATGCAGGGAATTGGCCCTAAGCTGGAGTTGAGACCCCTGAGCCTAGCTGGTGGGCAAAGAGGGTTCACCTAGGAACTGGGCCTAGAGACCCAAGGGTGGGCCTCATGATACCAAGGGGTCCTGTGTCTGGACCTCACCTGTGGACGGGTCAGCAGGCACTAGGGGTGCTGTTCAGACACGTAGCTCCAGGAGGCCAGGTGTGCAGTGGGCCTTGGTGTCTATATCCCACCGGATGAGTAGGGGCTCCTGGGCCCCAGGAGATCTCACCCGAAGTGGATTGGGCCCTGTTCTGAGCTAATGCTGAGCTGAGGCCTATGTCAGGAGGCACAGACAGTGCCTCCCTGACCAGGGGATAAGCTGGGCTTTTCTCAGGGGCCTTTACAGGACCTACTGGGTACGTGGAGGCAGTGGGGAAGGAAAGCCCTGAATACTTGGGTTGGTAGGGGAAAGACTGCTTCCTTGGCCTGTCCGGGGTTCTGAGCATGTTCTGAAGTTTATGTATATGCACCCAGGTTGTGGACCCCTCCCCATCCTTGGTTCCTGTTCTAGAAGGCTAGGGTGCCTTTTCATTAATTGCTGGCAGAGAACTCTCAGCCCTCTCAGTGGCAGTGATAATTAATAGTTATTCCCGAGGGAACAGAAGCAGGGTCCTCTTGAACAGTAGTAGGGTGTTTGGGGTGGAGGGTTCCCCTACCAGCACTGCTCCCAGGCCTCCTCCCACCAATTCTTCCAAGATATGGTTGGGGGGAAGGGTCCAGGGCTCCCGCAAGTGGTCCGGTCCTGGCTCTGGGGAGTGTCCATGGGACATAAATTAGGCTTTGCTCTGGCAATAAATAAAATGGGGGAGGCCTTGAACGCCAGGCCCAGGCCACCCTGTTAAGTCACACAAAGTTCTCCTCTTCTTCCTCCGACTCAACATCTGCTGGCTCAGGGGTGCCTGCTGAGTGGGAGGGACGAACAGAGAAATGGGGGTACGGAGAGGGGCTGGGGCCTACAGCCCACCACTGCTCCCCGCTCCGCTCCGCACCTGCGCAGCTGCCCGGGTGTCGCACGCCAATGGAACGGCCCAGGAAGCAGGTGGCCTGGCGGAGGTGGCAGGAAGACATGTAGGTGACGTTGTTGTTGCCGCAGAGTTCCTGGCCAGGGCTGGAGGGCGCGGGGCAGGGCGCAGCGCGACACATCACGCAGTGGGCACTACCTGTCTGGTCCACCACGCACGACTGTGGCCGCTGGCACACCACGTGCGCGCAGGACTCTGTGGATAGGGCGCCAGGGTGGGTCAGGGGCGCCACCAGGAGGACGAACCCCGCCCACAACACTGAGGGCACCCTCAGGCCCCGCCTCCCCGGTTGTGGCAGAAGCCACACCCCCTCAACGAGACCCCGCCCACAGCCCAAGTCCACCCTCAAGCCCCGTCCCCTCTAATTGCACCCTCAAGCCCCTGAGTCACGCACCCATACTTCTCACCCCACGGGAGCCCCGGGACCCCTTTCCAAACTTCCACCCTACTCTTCCTTATTCTCGATCCCACAAAAGACCCAATCCACTGACGCTTTCCCAGCAGCATAAAGACTCCCTTCATTAGACTCCGCCCACGACCTCGCCACCTAGGCCCCGCCCACCATAAGCCCGGCCCCAACCCTCAAGACCTATACCTACACCGCTAGACACGACGCACCGGAGGCCCCGCCCCCCCGCAGGCCCCGCCCCCCGCA